GAAAATTTAGATAAATCTTTTTACTCTTCTATGATAGCTACAACATAGTCAAACTTTACAGGCAAGCTTCTCAAAATTTTCTGAACAATTCTTTTATCAAGAATATCATCTTCATAACATCTAATCTGATTTATTATTCCAGTAACTCTAGTAAACAAGTTCTAAACAACTTCACTATCTTTCATCATCAAATTATCAAATTCTCTTCATAAATTTTGGAGTTTGATACAAGTCACTTTTCAGATCCTTGCAATTCATTTTTCAAAATATCCCAAGCTTCTTTGAATTTTGAAGCAATTTTTATTTTAGAAAAGATAGATTTACTTACATTTTACTGGATGAAGAGATGAGCTTTTGCATCTCTCTTTTCATTTTTCTTGAATTCATTCTTCTTTGCATGCGACCATGAATCAAGTGTTGTTTTATCTTCTGATACTGAATAACCTTCTTCATTCGGAGATAAAAAGAGTCTTTATTTGGAGAATCTATGATCATTTCCATCTAAGAAGGGTATTAGAGTTTGAGTATAATTCATATCCAAGTTGATGCCATAGGTAAAGGGGTTGTTTAGGAAGCACAAATCTGGTTATGATACCAAATGTTGGAAATTTGTGGTAGAGTTGATATAATAATTTGATTGGAAAATAGCAAAGAATAATAATAGGGGTGAAGATGCAGCAGTATTTACCCAAGGATATTTCACTATTTCATCGATACAATAGGAATTATTTTGATAATAAGCAAATATGATGGTCTTTCGGGATCGCATCCTTCTTTTTAAGCCTTTTCCACAACTCACACTTTCTTATCTCTCAATGTTGGGTTTTCTTTCTTGTTTGTCTCGTCTCACGATCATCTCCATTTATAGGTTTTTTTTTTTACTGCCATACTGATGGCTCTAGGTGATCCACGAACTTCTAAGAGCCTTCTTGATGGTTGCATTATGCCGTCGTTCATTTTTTCTTTATCACCAAGGAACTATGTGGACCTCCAATTTGTATTGACTTTTCTACCACCAACGTTAGAGAGAGACATTATTTTTAACATTTCCTACACCATTTCTAAACCATTCAAAAGTACTCTGACCCATGCTCAACAAGTCTTCTTCGGCTGCGTACTTCTCTTCATTCCCATTATCCATGACATGGCTAAAATACCCATGGATTCAATTGATGAAAACTCTTAGCTACCTTTCTTTATCCATGCTTTGTATGATCTAGGAAATGTCCATGAATATTAAACTTTGGTAAGTGATAAGTATTCTATTTAGTATAGGGCAATGAGAATAGCTCTCATGACAATCACATATTTCGGATTCGTAAATTGATCTCTTCCCAAACCTATTGAATTTGATGCGACATTCTCTTAATGGGAACATTGCAATCAAATGATATATTCTTCGATTCTTAGTTTTATCCACACTAACATTAGAGACAGTATGATGTATGTACTGTCAGTGAAATGTAGAGTGATCTTAACGATCGCTTTTCTCAGAAAAATGTGTTTCGCATTTATCAAATATCCTGTAATATTCCAGCCCTGCAGCATGGTTCCATTGCATCTTATTTTACAAAGCTCAAAGCTTCTTGGGAAGAATTGCAGTCTTATAATACCATTCTCCTTTGTTCTTGTGGTTCGGCCAAGGCCATGGTTGAGATTCATTAGTGTGACAAAGTAATACAATTTTTAATGGGCTTACACAAATCACATGGTGCTCTAAAAAGTTAAGTTTTTCTTATGGATCCCCTTCCCATGGTCCAGCATGCATGCATACTCCTTCAGGAAGAGAAACAAGGAGATTTTCATGTTCGGCCTCAATCCATTGAGGCCTCTGTTTTACTCTTTTCCAAGGCTTCACGAGGAGATCAACTTTCGAATGAACGTGCTACCAAAGGTTGCCCAAAGGTGAAATGCAAAGTAAAAACAACCACAATGTCTCACATGTTGACCATATCGTTGGCTTCCCACCAAAGAAGCCAAACCATCAAGGTGGTCATTCTTCATCTAAGCTTGTTGCAACCAATGTCCAGCAGTCCCATAATAGTGTATTGGGCCATTTTTCATTTTATGATGCTTTAATCCTGATTTGCAGTTTCTCCAACACACCCTAGCTCTCTATCGAGCAGTACCAAAATCTCGTCAATTTAGTCACAGTAGATCCTTCCTCTTCTACGGCTACTTTGCAAGGTAACAAAGATTGTTGTTGTTCTTTTCCTTCCAAATAGGTTATTGACACAGGGTAACCCATCATATGTCATCCTCCTCTGCCTCAACTTTACAACCTGTTGCCTTACCTAATGGAACCAATGCACCCATTTCACACATAGGTTCTATAACTCTGAGTTATGATATTCCTTTACCAAATTTTCTTGTTATTCCTTCCTTTAAAAAAAATCTTGTATCAATTAGCTAGTTGACAAAGTCATTAAATTGTTTTGGTTCAAGCCCTATTTTTGCCTCTTTCAAGACCTTCTTTCAAGACCTGCCAACCCAGAAGACAATTGAAGTGGGTAGGGTGGAGCAGGGCCTTTACTATCTTGAAGTTACTTCATCAAAGCTCAAGACACATTCATCAAATCTTGCTTCTCTTGATTTATGGCAATGTAGGCTTGATCCCATTTTGCTCTCCCATTTAAATTCACTTTCCAAAACTGTTCCTTTTATTTCATCTTTGAATAAAAATGTTCGTATTATTTTCCCTCAGGCAAAGAAAGTCCGACTATCATTTACTTCTAGTGTCATCACTACAAAATATGCCTTTAGCATGATCTACTATAACATATGGGGTGGATGCCAAACTGCTTCACTATCTAGCGCTCACTATTTTCTCACTGTAGTTAATGATTTCACTCATTGCATTGCAAATGGGTGTTTCTCATGAAGTTTAAATCTGAAATAAAGAGCCACCTCCAAAATTTATTTGTCATGGGTTGAAACTCAATATGATCGTCAGCTTCAGATAATTAGAACAGACAATGGTACTGAATTTATTTCCAATGACATACAACAATTTTTTTACTAATAGTGGTGTTGTACACCAACAAAGATGTGTATCAGCAACCCAAGAAAATGGGGTGATGGAACGGAAGAACATGTATCTTCTCGAGGTTGCATGTGCATTAAGGTTCCATGCAAATCTACCCCTTCAATTTTCAGGCGATGGCATCCTTACTGCAGCCTATTTAATTAATATAATGACTACATCATTGCTATCTAATTGTAGATATCCCGATCTCGATTGGAAAGATATTGGAAAGGTCGAATATTCCAGGCAGTACCCGGGTATTTTAAACCATTTACCCCACCAGTACCCCTTCTCCATAAACCTAACCTCCACCAAACCCTCATTGCTCAAGTAGGACCAAGGGTGTTAAGAGGCTGAACAAGGCAAGGGAAACCCAAAGCGGCCTGACTATGAAGCATTCAAGAGGAAAGGCTCTGATGTTACCTCAACGGGCACCAAAGCCTTACAAAAGTCTGACAACAAAGTACCAGAAACACTGAAGTCACAGCATAGGCGACTTGGGACACCAAAGGCCTGATGCCATTTCCATTGGTGCCAGCCAAGCCCCGGGCTCCCATTTTCAAGTAGAAACAAGATCAAGATGCCTGTGCGGCTAATCCAATGCCGCCAGTGCCATTCCAGTAATGCCTGGCCCCGAGACCTTCACCAAGCGGGACATAGCGTGACCGATGTGATTGAAGTGGCGAGCTGACATGTTAGTCCGTACGCGCTATCGTGGTATGCTCGTACTAACATGTCAGCTGTCATTACGGAGTGAGGTTGTCGATTTCCTATTGGATGATGATCAAATGAAGGTACAATCAAGATAGTTCGACCATTGGTACCCGGCGACAATTGGAATGTCACTGGCGCTAGTCGGAATCGCTTCAAACTGCGATTGATCAAATCAGAGCTACCAAAATACGACACATGTTTTGAACAGTCTTTGAAGGCAGTCAGAATGCTGTCGGCGCCATTGCCAATGGCACCGGAATCTGGCAGGTCATACAAAACCCTCATTAATGAGCAATTAATATCTCTATTGACCGTCATCATTACAGCATTAATGACATGGCATCATTCCAAATAGTACCAGTCTAGTCCAAATAGTGCCAAAGCTCTGAAGACCCAAAAACAAACTGGATACAGACTGTCATGGGTTCATTTTCGCCTATAAAAACCCCTTTTACCTAAAGAAAAAGGTCCGAGATCTTGATATTTTTTGTGCCTAAACTATACCAAAAAATCTCATGATTTTAAGCCTAAGCTTGAGCTTGTGAGAGAACTCAAGGAGATCCCTTTTGAGCAAACCCCCATCCTACCAAACCCTTCAATCCAAAGCTACAAATACAAATTCCTTCAAGCCACACTTCAAACCAAAGGCGGTCCGGATAATCAAACCTTTTGGACCCGCTTCTTCCTATTTCTATTTGCCCCATTAAGAACTGAGAAAGTTCGGGTTGATTGTGCAACTTTACTATCTGAATCAATGCTGACTTTAGGAACCGAGCCTGAGGGCTCGACCTTGGTTAACAATAGTTCATGTAGGGAAAGAACATCTCAATATTCGTATATTGATGTAAACAAATGAAAGTTCTTAATGGAGTACTGCTATTTCTTATTGAATTCCTAAAAAACAACATTTATAACGAATTTTAATAATTTTTTTAGATTTTTTTAAGGTTAAATCTGACCGATTCGACCGATTCACGATCCGAATCGCCGATTCACCGATTCAGATGAGTTTTTGAAGTCCATTTTTTAAACCACGGCTCTAAAAAAATATTTTTGTTTCAAGATAGCATTGAAATCTTCAAGTTTTTTCTTTTAAAAATAATTAACTAGTGACTCTTATGGTTTTCATAATTTTAGATTGAAAAAAACCAACTCAAGTAAAGGAAAAAAAAAAAAGAAAAAAAAAGAAAAAAAAGAAAGCCCAAAGTGCATAATGACTCACGATGAACCTCACACTCGGTTCTTCTGGGATCATAAAACACAGGCTCTTTGCACTTCATACCAATCTCCCGCTTCGCAGTCTCAAGTGGCGAAGAAATCATCTTAAAAACAGAGAGAGAGAGAGAGAGAGAGAGAGAGAGAGAGAGAGAGAGAGAGAGAGAGAGAGAGAGAGAGTAGTAGTAGTAGTAGTAGTAGTAGTAGTAGTAGTAGTAGTAGTAGTAGTAGTAGTAGTAGTAGTTAGTTAGTAGTAGTAGTAGTAGTAGTAGTAGTAGTAGTAGTAG